AAATGAAATTGTTGACAGCTTTACCGATATCGTACTGACGATCGCAAAGGTGGGTCCTCCATCACTCATTGAAACTAGCTTGTTTGCATGCATTTGGATGTCAGAAAATCTATTTTTTTTGTATTAATCTCACCTCCTGTTAGTAACTTCAAGGGGTTACCGCTAGCACTGTCAAATCAGGGCATTTAACTGTTAATGATGCACAAACTAATAATTGCAGATAAGCCGAAATTAGTATGGCATGATAGCAGGCTAGAGCTTGATGTCAATATTCTTGACTCTTGCGTTGACTGCGTGACAGGGCTAGAGGCTAATCTCACCGTCGTAGAACCAAGTAATCACAAGTTGTCAAGTTAAAAATTTGATTAACACGCGCCTCGATGCTAGGCAGATGGCCCAAGTTGGATAGATTTATAAAATCTAACGACTGCATAGAGCTGTTGTCGAAGATTGAACGATATTATGACGGTTGTTGTCACAGGTAGCAAGCAGCGGAATGTTTCCTTTTTTTTTCGTATCTCAAAATGTTAACAAAAAAATCGAAAGAGCACGTATAAAAACAAGCAATTCAAAGGTAAACGCGTATTTCGAGCAAATCCAATGTGTTGGAAAAGATTCTCTTTAGCGCTGATCACAATCAAGAGCGACTATCAAAACAGCTTAAGCGGAACAATGGGCCGATCGCTATTTATGACAAAGGGAGTATGACGCATCCCTGTTCTAATGTTACTCGAGTCGTGCTGATGCTGCTAATGTCGGCCCACCGAGTTTACCCATGGCGGGGCATACACCAGGGCAACGGTGCCGATAACTGCAGCATCAAAATCCTCAGAAAAACATTTTGTTCAAAATGTAAAAATGTTAAACGTTAGACAGATACGAGTAATTAACCAACAATTAGACATAAAAAAACCCAAAATGGGTGATTTTTAGCCCCATTTGGGTACATCAATCCCTTAAACAAGCAGCTTTGGCCAGGCTTCTTTGGCGCCAATTTTGCACACATGAGAAAGATGTGCAGCAAGTTCGATTGAAATTAACTGTGAAATAAACTCCAATCTAAAGGCACCAGAGTAATTTATTTCTTCATTTGTAATGTGTTGTTGCAAAAGTAACATGTATACCAAGGCAGTGTTTGCCAAGCTGAACAGGTGTCAGATATAAAATATTTAGAGCTATTTACCATGCTTTGTTCAAAGTGCCAGACATAGCAAATGAACGTTAATTGAACTGGTAGAATGAAGTCAAACAAATATGCGATTCCAAGTCAAGTTAAACTGGCGGCGACTTATTCTACACGAGGTACAGTCCTTTTAAAATATACGGTCTGCGTCTCCGCACATGGGCATAACTTAAATTCGAGACCTATTAACCCCAGCGGAATGTTGGTTTAGCACCAGTTCCAGCATTCCCTTGCTTAGACCCAGATGTGTCAGAACCAAAATATCCAGGGGCACCAAGAGGTTGCCAGAAATTTGATTTCTTCGTCATCCTGTTTTCACCGAGTTGGTTTTCTTGAAATCCCTCGTGCTGCCTGAAGGTAGACATGGCTCCTAACATGGCCGCCGTCGCTGGGTCATGGAAATAATTAGTCACCACGTTGCAGAGTAATAACGAAGACGCTGGTTCGAACTGACAGAATCTGAGAAGGCCCTGCCAGAGCGTAGGTGGCGGATTTTGGTTAATGGTGATTTTTTCCTCTTCAAGAATTTCATCATCGCTGTCTGTCGGGCCACCCAAGGGCTGACGCTTCGAAAACAGTCGGTTAAATCTTTGGCGTAGAGGCAACCGACCAGGGGCTGAATTGGGTGTCTGTATTTCTAGAAGCTGACTCAAAGCTTTTGGCCCGTTTTTGTTTTCTGTGACGCCATCCGTGTATCCTATCCAATGTCCAGTTACAGTGGCACACATGACGACGAAGGTGTACACGAAAACGCAGCCAACGCGCTGTGTGTCCTAAAAAATATAACATGTTTAAATGTTTTTCAGGATGTGAGAACTTAAACATCATTCAAAAGAGATTAATTGAAATCTCACGTACTATTTGTCTCATTACTACATGGATACGTAGTTCTTTTTCAGCCATGTGACAGTAATTGGCTTGATAGCATATGAGTGGACGGGATCCAATACACTCGAGGCGTTACGTTTTAACTCAGAGAATCTCAAACTATTATTGGAACTTGAAGAGGAGTTTACGACCAAGAGAAGGAGAATGATAAAAACCTAACAATGAGGATATGAACGCAGTTACTACTGGTAGTAAGACAGTTCTTGAATAACATTTTCTCCTCCAGTAGCGTCCCAGAGGAAATCTATAGAAAGTTGGCATATTAAGTTTAGCGTCCATTTTTTCTTTCTGAATATCCATTTGCTAAATATCGATCATTTTCTAATCATTTCCTGAGTTTTTTGTATAAATTAATGCACAAACTGTACATGAATACAGCAGCTGTAATGGCGTAATGTAACGGCAAGAATATCTGGCTTGACTGAGATGTTAGCTTCTTCGCGACCACTGATCAAGACAAACGAATCTACTAATATCACTTGATCCAAATCATTTCAAACCTTAAGTTTATAAGCCTCAAATACCACGTTAAAAGAGTTGCCCAACCTTCCAAGACAAATTTTTAAAAAATACCTATGTGTTAAATTTGGCTTCTACTACACTGTACCCAGTACGTGCTTGAAAGTTGTCGAAATTTTTATATCTTAAATTACAAAATCATAAAAAAGGGAACAACAATAATAATCCGTCTCTCACTTTTTGTGCTTGAAAATCGTCATAACTAAACGGAACACACCAAGAGAATAAGAAAAGAGAGAACCATTAAAGAAACATTATGAAGCACAAAACTGATAATACATCACAATTTGCAGTAAGTATCGAATAACGTGGTGCCAATTCAATTACCAGGATCTGATGTAAATTAGCCTCTTTGTTAGTAATGTAAAAATATCTCCTCTATTCCTGCGCATCCCATAAATAGTTAGTCACGTAAAAAGATGCATCTTCTCTATTATGCACATCGTAGAATAGCTTTAATTGTTTTACTGACACATTTTATTCAAACTCTTCACCAATCTGCTCAGTATCTTTGTCACTGTTCATCGACTACCATTCTTTCTCCTTTTTTTATTAAAGAAGAACCCTATCTATTACTGAATAGATTTTATTCACCATGACTCAGGGGCGGATCCAGGATAGCGGTGAGGCAGGGGCCTTTCAATGAACGAAAGGTACAAATTTGCGTATTACTTAGAACATAAAACTTTTTTTGTGAATTTTGTTTATTTTGAAGCATATGAAACAAACTCATGAACGAGACAGGAGTCGGGTTAGAAGTCTGTTGGTTCAGGGAGGTTTTCAAGTACATATGCCGAGTGTGCAAAAAGAGTTATTGGTTCGGGAGTCGTCCGTAGAATATATTTAATGGATGACTTTAATGTGAATAAACCAAGCTAACATGAGGCACGAGTTTTAGACAATAAAATAGACTGATGATGCATAAATGAATGCATGAATGATAAATGGTGAAGTTGGAGAGGGAGGAAGGTGTCGGCCGGCTTTATGGAGCACTTTTCGGTCGACAAGTCACCTACATCGGCTGCGAGTTCGTGTGATGGTGGTGGTATAAGGTCCGTACGATTTCAGCAATAAGAGTGATGGACACATACATACAGAACAAAAAAGATATTTGGCATACCATCTTATTTGTACTTTCTTGGGCGAAATGTAGGACGCATAAGTATCGTTTTTGCTATCATATTAGGCATTATTTTAAGTCCTTGGAAACCGCCACCAAGGATCTTATGTACATCTTCCTGAGTACCCGAAGCCATATGCCTTTACAAATCCCTGGTAATCAAGATTGCTAATATCGCTTGTTGTCAAACAGAAAAAAAACCTACAGGTTTATTGTAAAAGGCATATGTTCACATTAGGTTAAGTCCTAAATTCTTTGTACATTTTAATCTTTTCTGGAACCCACACACCAGAACCCATCATATCTTCTTTAACAACAGAGATACCAATAAGTGTTTCCATACAAATTGAGAAAGTGTTTACTGTTGGCCATTACCGGTATGAAGAAATGTTGAATACAATTTTTTGAAGACAATGTTGTCGAAGTAAGTGGCCTAATCATGACGTTTTGACAATAAAGAAAGTCCCTGTTACTATAATTTTAAAAAAGAGGTGTCAATATATATTTTATTCAAAGAAGGTAAGTAACTTGTAAACAAGTACATATGCTACTAACGCGTAGGCCTGTAGTTAATAAAATCATTATCGATAATGATGACGCATATCACAAATAAAAAGATTCTGTTGTTATACGGTGGCGACTGCTCTGGTCTCATTTGTCTTCAACCTTTAGTCACGGTTTCATGAAAAAAAAGACGTCTTCTCTATAATGGGCTCTTATACAATTATTGATGGCCTATTCATGGAGTGACATACACGGAAGATGGCATGTTCTTTGTAACAAGGCTGATTTGAAAGTATACGATCCCTGAAAAAATATGAAGACGTGGTCGTCTTACAGGGAATGATTTAGTCGGGGTTTTGGCAAACTCTGGAGAGAAGGTACAAAATATTGCAAAAAATGCATTCATAATACGATTAGCTTGGGATTAGATAACGTCTTCGAACGTCTTGATCAATTTACGTTTGTTTGAAACTAACTTAACTGTACGCCATTTAGATCTAAGCAATTTGCTGATGTACTCCTGTTAACAGAAATTAATCAAGAGGCACGCCGCTAAGCCAATGGAAGTCTTATGGGCGATAAAATCTCTGTAATTATCCATTTTAGAGATCAAATTCGTTTATTCTGTTAGCAAGGCAACCATTGCAAATACAGCTCAGTATTGCATTACAGACATTTGCTTAATTTAAGGGGAAAGTGGAGAAGAGTCTCCGAAGTTCAGGTTTTTAAAAGAGATTTCAGAGATTGTTGGCAGTAGGCCTACCTTTATGTAAACTTTAATGATCAATCTGCATTGTACACACATTAGCTCTAGTAAAATTGAAGATATTTGCAGTGGTCCTAGAGTTGATTTTGTTAATATTATTAATATTCAATAATTGATTCTATTGTCTTATGCTACAGAATAAAAAAGCACCCAACACTTCTGGCTTATAAGCCACTTTATGTGCTGGTAAATCGTCCTTGCCATATAGCATACATTGTGCTTATACATTTTACAAGTTGTCTTAATTTCTTCACTTGCTATTTTCCCAAGAAATAATTCTATTAATTTGAAGACCAATATTATCTTTTTCTGTGATATCTTTTGTGTGTTTACAACAGGTGCGCTGAAATAAGAATCTTGCACATCATTAGAGCAAATCTGACAAACATTTCCATTAACGGGTGCGTTTGTTTATCTTCCAGTTTCAACATATAACAGTAAAACGTCCATAAGAATTGGACACAGTAAATGTTTTTCTTTTCTGCTTTTCATTCAAAAGTGAAACGTGTCACCAAAAATTAAACTTCTAATGTCTTAATTATTAACATATGATTGATTAAGAATGTTACCCTAAGCATCAATATGTTTTACAATCTCACTAACTTCAGACCACCAATTTCATTTAAAATCTTCAGTGAAAATCTGCATCGCAATTCTATTGCTTTAGAATTTTTATTAGATCGTTCCAGAACCTAAAGATACGTAGATGTGTACCATATTTAATTGGAATCCAGCCTGATTTACCTTAAGGGCTTACTTTAGTAGCAAAGATGTGGATAACGAGGTTGTAACTTTCTTGTCGCTAGGTGATACCTTTAAAAAGCTTCACGCAAATTTTTTCGCAATCATTATTAGCGAAGAATCCCCTAACACCCTACCCATACTCTACTATTCGGGCTACACAGTAACTCTACATTTTTTTCTTTTGCTGTGCTGTTGTTTTGTTTGAGATCTTGCTTTGATTAAACCAAGTGTTCTTGTAGCAGACTCTGAGAGAAAATTAGATGTTTGTTGATTATCCTGAAATTCTGCGCTAATGGGAAACCCAGTTAAGGTGGCTTATTTTGCCGTTTCGACATTTCCTTACATGTTACGTTTCTTGAACAGAATCGATCGAGCCTTGAAAGTCTTTAAGGGGACTACATTCAACGTTAATCGTGCACACCACTGTATAGCTTAATTTCATCATGTCTGTCAGTGTCCGTCAACAATCTAATTTCAACATTCTTATAACATATACTTAGACATGCGGATTTCCCCTAAGTAAATGAACGAAAATTATTGAAAAATGGTTAAAGACGCTTAATATCAATAAAAGGAACGATTAATTGTCAACAAGTTTTTTTTTTACCGAAAACTCTATTTCTCTGTTGGTTTCAAAAGCTACAGGAAACATTATACACTTACCATGACAACTTGACTGGACCCTAATTTGCGGACTGAGACTTTGGACAATGATCTCGGTTTCTCTTCACCTTGATCAACGCTAGTCACCTATTCAACAAGATTGTGACATCAATAATCGAACTTCGCCTTCCTTTTAACCTGGACTTCGTCTTGCTCTTAATCTTGAATTCGGATCATTTTATCCAATGTCCTAAAATCAGATATATTAGACAACAGTTGGAATCGTATCACGTGGGCGGATAAAAGTGGTCCCCGGTTTCTTCCTACACAGGTCAGACAATTTGGTGTATATTTTTACATAAACAACGATCTATTGCAATGTATGCCTCGTTGCGTTGGCTTCGTTTGGCGCAGAAATCGGATAGCGAAGATCACAGCCACTCCCGTCTGCCGCAGTGTTGGAAACGCAGTATGTTGTACTGCTCCTGATAAAGACGCCGATGAAGTTTTGCTCTTCTGATCACGTGCAGTGTGCAACTGTTTTAAGACCAAAATGTGCCCTGTTTTCCTATTAAAGAAACATCAACTTTATATTCCTATGGTTACCGAGCTGTACCTGTGCGCGGATAATTCTCCCTGTCGTTCTCTTGGGACTGTACTGATACTCGTGTCGAAGCTGAGTCTGTCAAGAACATCTATGTAATCGAAGCGGATTGTCGTCATCAAAGGCAAGGCGTATCTCATTAGCTTATTGAGATTGCCAGATAGTACCGTCATCGCGGCGAATGAAATGTCTGCTTTTAAAAGATTGCTGTGGATTTTTCGAGGTTATTATTAAGTTAATATTGTGGTATGGCTTCTTTTGGTGGTGTCTCTCACTTGATTGGAGTGTCATGGGATTACAATAATTCTGACCAACTGGGTAAATGTATATTTTTGAAGTGATTTCCAATATATAGGGCCAATTTAACACAAAATAGAGTGCAAGACAAGAAATTATTTTTCGATCATGCGTCACTTATATAATTTCGTGTTTCACCCTTTGCATTAGGTAATGATTCCCCTTTGCCAGTGCTTGATTTGGAGTTCATTTCTTTATTTCTACAAGACCATTACTGATGTTGTTTATGCATTGGTTTGTTGCTTTACTTGTCGTGTCTGTGAGCAAGGGTGAATAAACCTACCTGTTCTCTCTCTATCGACACCATTAATCCAGTGTCTACTGAATGTCTTCTCACTATCTGCTTTATGGGGTCAAATTTGCTGGAAAAGACAAAAGAACCCCCCTCAACTAACTCCTGCTATAACTTATGGTAATAGGTATTGTTTTAGATAAAAAACAAAACCAAAATAGACTGGACAAATGTATTAATGCCAATGTATATTATTCGCACTGGCAAAAAAGTTCATTTAACTTTTTGCTTATCTTATAACTTTGTTAAAGAAAACATAACGTCATTTCTTTCTGCCCTTTCACATGTAGGTTATATTTATACATGGCTTTTGATCGCATTTAACGGTACAAATCTACAAGAGTTGAATGAGCGTGATATGACCTTGACTTTGTATGGGGGCCCGTTCACACTGTCAATTCCCTTCACTTACTTCTTCCTGCTCGCTTCTGGCAATAAATTACATGTATTTTCATTTTTGATTTGTTATATTGTCGTCAATATCAAGAAAAACACTGAATCTACAGGAACTCGTCCTTGCCCTCGCCCTCTAATATATCTTTGCACTTTGTTTGTACGGCATAATATAATTCCTTGAAGCACGAAAAGCCAACCGAATCTCTGTTGGAGAGAGAGAGCTAGGTCGAAGCCCCTGATCTGTACAGAAACCAAGCGTAATGTTTTCCGGCAATAGTCGTATGATTAGAGATAGCGAGCAGTATTAATGATGGCAATATACAGAATATAAACGCTTTTTTTTACGATTAAGCTGAATAACACCCAGCGGTATTTGATAAGTGTTAATTAATTGACCGGGCAGATTACGCCTATGATCGACTATCTGTTGCAGACAATGGAGCAATAGGGTTTGTTGCCCACCAATTATTTGCTGCTGTAACTTAAGCGTTCCCTTATTTAAGACCTTCCCTTATTTGCTGAATATTTCTTTACACAATAACTGGTTATGAATAGAGATATGGTCAAATTTGAATTCAATACAATTTGAAATTACAATTACCTCATCATAGACCGAAGTCCCTCTAAACAACTCCAAATAAAAGATAAAAGCCAACAAATTCCCCTTTTGCATTCATGTTTTACTTTTTTATGAGGCGAATTGATTAATGTCTTTCTTCCATGTACTTAAAAACAAAGGATAAGTGTCTTATAAAACAAAGGCACGTGTTTGAGTCATATAGAATTCTAGATGAATTAAATAATTGAATAGAAATTTTCTTTACATACAGAAACTAAATGACATGTCCAACAAAACGTTAGACCTATGTTATTAAGTCTCTAAGTAAAGAATGCTTATATTTTATCAATAATATAAAGAAGAATGAAAAAAGGATCAAAATCTGGGAAATATTTTAAGGGACATGATATTTGTATAAATAAAAACATATTTTGCTCTATATGCTACATGTATACTTCAAAACGTAGGCAAATGTACATTTTCAGGGAAATAATTCCTATTTCTGACCATTGTTTAAGAAGAATAGAAGTAATGCGCTGGTGCCCTTTATTAATTCTAGCAATGACAAGGTCTTGCAAACCAGTTTGAAGACAGCAGTATAAAAATTCTGTCATTTGTCCGACATTTCAACGGTGAGACTTTGGTACAGATTGATTGCGACCACAAGGGGTGTTGAACTCTCAAGACGGAAATACGTTGAGTATATTGATAATTTTGATATTTTGACTCTCTTACACACAAGACACTTAAAGGTAAACTCCATGGGTTTGAAATCCCCCAAATGCTTATTTTCGCCACCCACAGCTTCTTATTAAACCTTACATACGCCTTAAAAACGATTTAAGCTCTCAAATATTTTTCTGGATTGTACCCGACGTTTATACTTCCATTACAACTTAGGAAGATGGTCGCCGGTTATAACGACTGGCCGGTCATTTTAAACTAAACCTTTATATAACCTTTATATAACTTTATTTAACGGTCGAATACTAGTGCAGAGAAGGGTAGATAATTGATTCGTGAGCACCAGAAAGTTTCTTATTTCCCCGGGAAAATCCATTTTGTCCCCATGAAATATAGGTGATGAGCTTACTTACGCCCCGCTTTTAACGCGCATTGAGAGGTTCAGCAAATCGGGCTGTAACTGTAAAGTTCAGTAAAGCCCCTTTTACACTGGACGGCGTCCTTTCTGCGTCCAGCAGTACGGCCCCATTTGAGAGTTAAAAAATTATAATACTTTACGTGCCGACAACTGGGCATTCATTCTGATACAGAATCAATGCTCGTGCCTCCTTATTTAGACCACAGCGATGCCAAATTTCATGGTCGCAGAAAGAACGCAGGGGGTATAACTGAGCTGTATTTTATGAGTTCATTTGAGACAAAGAAAGCCAAGATACGTGTAGAGTCTAAGTTCAAATTTCATTTTAGTATACTATGTGTAAAAGAGACAAAAGCAGAATCACCTATCTTCTCAAAGTACCACGTCCTTGGGAGTAAAAAACACCCTTTGGACCAGGTCGAAATAATAAAAGGAAAATAGGTCACCACACGTTATCATTATTACCTCCGCCAAGGAGGTTATATTTTCACCCCTGTTTGTCTGTTTGTTTGTTTGTTTGTTTGTTTGTTTGTCATCAACATAACTCAAAAAGTTATGGACCGATATTGATAAAAATTTCAGGAACTGTCAGAAGTGGGCCAAGGAAGAGATGATTAGTTTTTGGTGGTGATCCGGACCAATAATCAATCAATAATCAATAATAATCAAAAATCGCTGCCTTGGCGGAGGTCTGCGCTCTCGTTGTAAGTAACATTACTTCGTAAGTTTACATTATTTATTAAAAGGCAACTAAATGGGAGGGAATTAGGAAAAATTATCGATCAGTCGGCGCTTGGATCCATCATACTCTTCGAATGTTGACGTGAGTAATCGTGATACTGCCTAAAAAATAGAAGGCTATGCACCAATAGTGACCATTCCCATAACCCTATCGTACTAGTTGGATCGATCTAACTCCTCGGGGATTGTCCCTTAATTGTATTCAGTTTATTTTCTGCTATGCCCCCTCGTAACTTTAAGAACTTGGATAAAGTCGGGTAAACATTGTGGTTGTTCATGTTGCATTGCGAGGGGGGCGTGCCAGACAATTAAGCTGATAACATTGTCTGCGCCATAGCGAGAATCTCCGCTGAGAAAGATCTATCCTGCTAGTACGATAGGGTTATGGGAACGCAGAAATATCTATCTAAATACCAGTTCCGAAAAAATTCTGACGTAAAACTGGAGGATTTGCTTTCGGTGTTTCCATCCATTTCCTGGTTCTGTTGACGTACCTTCAAAATTGGATAAGTGGGTAACTTTCCGCTTCGATATTCAATGTGAACTTTGATTTATTACTTGATAGTATTGGGTTTCTCCTCTAACTCGTAATCGAAAACAAAACCTCCAGATCGAGTTCATTATTGGCATTTAGTTAATGGTGGATTATTAGTGCAAGCGTTTTCCTTCTATTGTCAGAATTTACCGTACACCTCGTTGCCGCTCCTTCTATCTGAATATTCCCATTCCCGCACACAATAGCGGAGTAATGTAACACAAAATCGAAAATGACGAGTATCTGATAATCGATGTTCTCCCACGCAAAGAAAAAAACTTGGCCATGTACTGTGATGATACTACAAAGAGGCTATTATATTACCCGTACTTTTGAGATAGGGGTTAAGACAGAACGGTGTTAGGAAGTGATAAGTGTTACAATGTTTTGGTCAGACATGTGCCAATCTAATATGCGTGGTTGAAGAACTATTGTTAAAAACAAAATTGGCAACTTTTGTGGCTATGAATGGATTATTATTGAGAAATTGTTGTAGACGTTTTTCTATAGGACTATTGTTAAAACAAAATTGACAACTTTTGCTAATCTGAATTGTTCATTATTGTGGAATTGCTATAGACTGCAGTTGAGGGAAGATGCACGACACCATTCCTTTTTTTTTTTTTTTTTTTTTTTTTGTAATTTGAAATTGCGAACTCTGTACTACTCTTTTCTAAGTGAATGATATCTACAACCCATCCAAAGAACAGCACCCTAGAACACTAACGTCCGTAAAAAGGTCTTCTCGTGGCAATCACTGGCGCTATAGTAAAATAATTATTGGCAATAATTGATTCAAAGCGAAAGGATCATTAATACCTTTGCCCTTATCTTGACAACGTGGAGTTATTGTTGTATAAGAAAAGCTGCCTGCTTGCTGCACAAGTGAGTGCCGTTAATCTACGAGGACACACGCGGTATACAAGCACCCGGTATCTGTAAGACGTGTATGTAACGATTTCCCCCTTATGACTGATGAGGACACTGATTTACTTTATTGGAGCAAACGTTATTAGTGCAAACTGTAAGAGATAGCCCCCGTGAGACGTACGACAGATGGATGGATCGACGAATGGAACGTGTCTTAAGTATATCATTGCCAACTCTGTGAAACAATCCACACAGACTTCAGTTGTTTATTAGCAAATGCCTTCAAGGTATAAGGTACATGGTCAAACAAAGTTGAGAGAAATGATACCCGAAGATCTCTGATATTTGCAGGACACCACATTTAAATACCGGGTTTAATAGTTCTCGGCCTTTAAACTAAAATCGTTGGCGTAGGGAAAACACCCCCACCACCTTTTTACAAAACCAAACGAGAGGTTTATGATCCCTCGTTAGGCAGACGTTTAATCATACAATAGAACGATGAAAATGCCAGTACTGTGTGCTGTGAAATATTCTAAACTCTAAGATATCTTTGAAACCTTTTCTCTGAGGACATATGAAACACGAGTGACACGTATTGTGAGGGGGAGGATTGTCTAGTGTAGTGTTCAAGTACAATTCCTTTGTTTTTTTATTTATTTATTTTTTGTATGTATTTTTTTCTAGCTGTCTTGTTTCGCCAGACATCACAGAGGAACCCAAGTTACCTTAGGTTACGTTTTGATTAGCGACAGAAGTCAAGTCTTCTGAGAAAAATAACAACTTCACTTTCATAACCAAGTTAGTACATTTTCGATCGAGAGGGTTAAGCCAAAGGTTAGAAATACAAAGCAGTCGAGCAATATTTAGACAATATATATATATATATATATATATATATATATATATATATATATATATATTGAAAGTAACATAGTAAAATACTACTGAATACTGTTTTGTTTTGTACTTTTCTTCTTTTATACGTTTAACAGCGCTTTTGTGCTGGACAATTCTCAAAATAAGTGCAGTGTTTAATTTTTGAACGTCTGTCAACACCATTTAGTTTACCTTACCGCTACCCCCCCCCCCCATCCCCACCCCAGTATATTTCATCGGCGGTCCAGTTGCGGCCAGAGGGAATACAGGATACCAGAGATACCGCCGACAAATCATATTGCTTTTTTTAATAGAAAAAAACCTGCGTTATTTTGTTGCAATCATTATTAATAAAATTCAATGTAAAGAACTGCACCCTACCTTCCGGTTACATATTTCAACACAACATAAAACAGACCGTGCCCCCGATTCGTACCGGGGTATGCTTGACAAAAACACATGTAGTAACTGTATTCTTCTAGTTGCCAAAAACTTCTTATTTAAGGTATGACTAATCTGTGGTCATTTTTTACATCGGAAAGTGAGGACTTACATGTCGATTATCGCTGGTTGTGTGTGTGTATGTGTGTGTGTGTGTGTGTGTGAGAGAGAGAGAGAGAGAGAGAGAGAGAGAGAGAGAAATAAACTGTTTTTCTGACCACTCGATTTATTTCCGGCATACACAAGTTTATTATTCTCTGGCGTGGTTTCTGTGACGCAGGTCAGTAGGCCATAGATGGGGCTATTATTCACGCATATCCATTTCCCCATAGACGGAAAGCTTTTCCTAGCGGCGTTCATCGTCACGTTTTTCTACAGGGAAAATTGTAATTCGGCTTTGGGGGGCGGGCATCATTTCAATTCCATGATGTTTTTCAGTTTTCTTCGTGCTGCCTCCGATTCCTAACAAGTTACAACGGTATTCCAATCAAGACCAGCCCCGTGTCAGATACATGTAAAACTACATACTTGGGTTGGTAGAGGCGAAGCTTTTAATAATGTTATTCTTCAAAGACATTATTCAACCCCCTCCCTCCCTATAACTTGTGAAACTATGTGGAAGATCCCTTCCATCTACGAAAAGTCGATACACCCATGTCATTCCTTTAAATTATGTCATCATTTTCAGTAGTTATTTTACGTATTTCCAACATTTTCAAGGGCACCACGTGTTATAGTGCCATTGGTATTTCATAAATCTAATATAAACCATAACAGCTGGCAGCAATTTTTTTCTGTGTAGACAAATAACAGTAGATATAAAACCATAAAGACAGATTTTAACTACATATAGGACTTATCAAATTGTCTCATCATATAAATACAATAAACAACAGACACGCAGAAAGGATGTACGATTATTTACATTATGTAATTTTAATTATTTACAACATATCTACAAATGGTTTTCGTAAAAGAACCGATAGCTTAAGAAGATAATCTAAACCAGTGATCATATTAAGTTTCAATAGATTCACTTTAAGGAGACAGATAGGTGCATCTTTCATAACATCTTAGAACAATTTTACAGTATTTTTCAGGTATCTAAAGGAGATTGGGGGGGGGGGGGCATTCCTCCTTTTTCAAAACAAAAATGGTAGCTTTAATTCCCATAGCGAAAAGTTCACCATCATCATCACCATCTAGGCCTCACAGAAATACAACTAAATGCCTTAATTAAATAAGATTTGCGAAACGTTTTTAGCAGGGGAGGGGTGGGGATTTAAAAAATCCCCATTATCTATCTGAATATAAAAAACCTCAGCATCTATATATCAATAATTTTTTTTTTTTTGCTTGATAAAAAGGAATCCTTCACTTGTGGACCATCTCTTATTACACTTTACAGCACCATGGACCATATAAAGGGGGTGATATCAAAACTGTTATAATTGAAATATTTTCATTCATCTTTAAGCAGGGAATCTTCAGTTGTAGTCACACTTTTGAGCTGTAACTGTTTGTAAGCACCTGCTTGACTGTTCAATGATCAATTGGTTACACGATTTGTTCATTACCAGACTAGTTTTCTCTGATACTTCCCCTTCAACTGCACATTTGCCCTTCACACACGACTAATAATTATTGCAATGACGACAATAAGTTAATAATATATGAAAACGCTGCCAAATTGCACCTCTATATGGGAAGCAGTTCCAATCAGCCTGTTTATCTCTTGCTATACATATTCTTTAGTACCCCTCATATAAAGCATTACTTGTCAATAAATGGTTTTATACCACATGCATTGCTTTCTACATAAACAGCATCATCCAGCTCAGTTCTGGCTAAGGCAGATCTGGGGTGTGAGTACTGGATCTACTGCAGAATAAATTCTTGCAAAATTAGTTTTGAGTATGAATAATTTAGAAAAAAAGAATCTTGCTGTAAAAAAAAAAAAAAAAAAAAAAAAAAAATTGTTACAAATTATCCTAGTGAGACAGTAGAAACTTAAGGTTATCTAAAAAAAATCATCAGTTCACACAATAAATGACGCTTCAGATAGATGTTGTCATATTTTCTGGGCTATAAACAAAATGCCTTCTTGCCCGTTCACCTGTGTGATCCCGTCCTGATGGAGATGAATGACACTTCATGACAATCTAATAGTGAGTACATAAAACCTGTCCACCTTATGCTTAATGGGTGGTATAACATATAAGATATGAGAATACTTCTGACAGGTTGTTTCAACCCTGTGTTCAGTTCTGTCTGAAAAGGTAATGGCACTACACATACCATTTTCCCAGTAGAAACGTTATCTTGATAGACTGCTTGTCAACCAAGGTCAGAAACTACCCATTGCTAGAGCTATCAAACAGTTTCAATAGTTGTCACCATAGGTGAGCTTCATGCTGCGGCATTTTGACCACACCCACACCCCCTCCCAGTCTACGATAGTTCATGCCTCCGTAGAGCTTCCAGCAATTCTGTTCAGGATCATACACTTCTATGGTCTTCAGATAGGTGGTGCCATCAAACCCACCAATGGCCATTAGCATTCCATTTACAACTGCCAAACCAACCTGAAATGTAAAAGACATATTATATTAAATAAATTTAAATAAAAGAAAGAAAGAAAGAAAGAAATGAGCGTAACATTTTTTATTTGTGTTCTCCATTCTGAAGCAATAAATTCCGTAGTATATGTCAACAATTACATGAGCTATATTCAAAACTGGAAATCGAGTTTGTGAACTTCTACGTAGCATACCAAGATTTCCGCAGCTTATCTGCAGCATAAAGTTTATGAAAATAATAAGATGTAGAAATGATAATTTTGATATGACAATAAAGTTTAGGACTTTCTTTTTGTAAAAATGTGAAATTTCTGTGGACCTATTCTTCATTCAATTGATGTCTTTTTCTGTAAACTTAATTTAGACAATACAACTATGTTGTATAATATCAACAGATAAGAAATTAATGCTAAACTCTAGATTATGAATGTCTTGCTTTTTTCCCTATTTTTTAACATAAATCTCCCTCTCATTTTCATGCATAACATAACAATATCAGAAATTCACCAATTATAAATACATATAGCTTAGACTGCTTTGAAACCCTAGCTACACAGGCTGTTCTCCACACGTCAAAAAATAAAATTTTCTACACCATATATCTTTACTACAAAACACCTACCCCACTTCTCCTAGAAGTCATAGCTACCACCGGCTGCCATGTATTGGTCTGTGGGTTGTATCTCTCTACACTGCTTAGCTCAGTGGTGTCATCTCTCCCACCTACAGCATACATCATGTTGTTATACACAGCAACCCCCAGGTGCTTCCTCCGCGTGTTCATTGGAGACACCGGGGTCCAGCGGTTGGTCCGGGGGTCATACCTCTCAACTGTAATAACAATTTAACTTTATGATTATAATTGAAGTCTATGGCATGAAATGTGCAGATGTTTTGCCATTTTTTTTTCTTTTTCATAAAATATGCACATTTTTAGGCAACATTTTTATAAAAGTTTTTATCAAATCAAACTAAACACTACTTTATGATTATGTTCAATGTCAAAAATATTAAAGCTTAAAACTTCTGATTCCTCATATACTGATAAGTGTAAATAATTGGTTTCTCACTTCTCAGCAAGTTGTTGTTGAACTTTATTCAGCCACGACATTCTTCAAATTTTTCAAACTGCACATCAGCACGAGAATGTCAATTATCTGCTTTACATATTTTTATTATTTCATAACCAAAGCATCTCTTATTAGCTCTCCTCTTGTCCATTAACTCTCACATTAGATGCCTGACCTCTGACATTCACTATCTCAACCTTCTATGATCTATTTTCTTTCATTCCCTCACCTGTATTCAGTGGTGAAGATCCGTCACTTCCTCCTACAGCATACAGATATCCTGCCAGCACAGCCACTCCCACCCCCAGCCTCCTGGTACTCATGGGGGCAACCTTTACCCAGCGGTTGGTCTGAGGATCATATCTGAAAATACAGCATTTACTTTTCATGTTTAGGCATAACAGGGAGCTCAACTTTCAACTTTCTTTTATCTGAAACTATAACAACAAAACTCAAAGACAATATTTATCTCTCTTTACACAAAATTCAGACATGTTTAAAGCAAAACACCGTAATGAATTGGTCAATTACAAAAAAAAAAAAAAAAAAAAAAAGCTCCTCAAACTTTACATTAGCTCAAAGAAAGATCAGTATCAACGCACCTCTCCACGAAATTCAGACATGAAACTCCATCTTGCCCTCCTACGGCATACATGAAGTCTCCAAGAACAGCCACGCCCACACTGGTACGACATGAACTGGTGGGAGCTACATCACTGGACCACTGATTAGTCTGAGGATCATATCTGAAGAGAAAACACCAGTGAAGGTTGGTCAATTACAAATAGTAACTGATCACTTAATTAACAAATTATTAACAATCAATCCTTTATGTGGAAAGCTGAGATGCAAGAGAAATTTTAAAACCTGTTAATGTGCATAATTACAGAGAATTGCATTCCCCCCTCTTAAAAACTCATGCTACTTTTAACCTGTGGTAAAATTTTGTTGAAATAAATAAAACAGTTTTGTTACACATAAAAAGAGCACCAATTCCTACCTCTCAATGCTGTTTAAATAAGACTGTCCATCGTGTCCCCCTACAGCATACAGCAGGCCATTCAGCACTGCCACACCCACCCCACAGCGTCGCTTACTCATGGGCGCCACCATGCGCCACTCATTGGTCTGTGGGTCGTACCTCTCCACACTGGATATAGCATCTCCACTACACCAGCCACCCACTGAGACACAAAGAATAGACAATTATAAATAAATTTCGCAAACCAAAAGAAAAGTCACAATTATGCGTTTAAAAGAATAATGTGATTTTTCTTTTTTTTTTTTTTGGCTTATAATCTAAAAGGAAAACCCTGCTCTTGATACCATTTCATTTTTGTGACACCAAATTTAAAGCACACTCCCTGCCCTGAGATAAGAAAACTAATTATAAAACATCAATATATGTCAAAAGACACTTTATTTGGCTCTATCTACCTGCAAATAACACCTCTCCACATCTTATTGGTTTCCTTGGTCGCGTTCTTGGTCCCTGCATCAGAGGGCGCTCCTGTGGCAACAGCAGGTAATTCTTAGCTTCGTCTACCAAATCTCTACAGGCCTCGTCGCTTTTTATTAAAAGATCAGAGCCCACAGTGCCGACTAAAAACTTTGGACTCATCAGTGGCAGCCTCACATGCTGTACTACCTGAAAGCATAATAGAACATACAGAACTAAAAAAAAAGCTGTCAAAAATTTTAAAAAATTCTATGAACTATATCTCAACTTTATGAAAAGTTTTTTTTAAATAAAACTTTAACAAACACATTTCTGTAGTAGAAAGGAGCAGCAATTCATCCACAACTGGAATGTCTGGCAAGGACAAATCAACAGATTCATGTTTGTTCACTAATAAATGCACTTGATTAAATAAATGAACAAGCAAATTAAAAAAAAAAAATTCCTAACATCAGATTTTTTTTTCTTTTTGTATCCCAATAACATTATACGTTAGAGTTCCCAACATAAAGATATACAATTTGTCTGTATGAGATGACATACTGTAGGCAGGTTTCCCTTCCTCTCCTGTATATTATGTTTGACCCAACCCATCACAGCACTGTACACCTGCTCCTCACTGCGCACATTGAGCTCATCACTTGAGATTATATCCACTAGCTGATTCAGGGGAAGAAGGAGAAATTCTTCACTTTCCATCACCTGTAAGAAAAAGGTCAATTTCCTTAAAATTTGCAATAAGAACAAAACATGTCAATATGGGTTTGAATACAAGATGTTTTGAGAGATGCTTATTCTCAACTTGTATTCAGCAAGAAAACTTTCATGTTGGGACAACGTACCTGAAATCAATTATTTCTGTTATCAGCTTAAAAGCCCAGTTATTTACAACAATTTTCAAGGAAACGATTGTGCAATATCTTCATTGATATTCTGTCAAATGTTAACAACAACTCAAAGACACCTTGTTTCAATTTTGCTCTGAATCCCAAGTCCAGTAGAAGACAAATAGCAGAGAATCACATTTTCTGATTGAATACTCCTTTTTAGTAGCAAGATTATAGTATCTAAATTGTTAAGTAGGTTAAAAAGGGTGAGAGGTGGGTACTGAGAGTTAGGGAAGATTTTGCAATTAACTAGCAAGTGTGTGCATGTATGTTAATGTGTGTGCATGCTGACATGGGCACGAGCATACGAGTGTTTTTGAGTGGTCAAGTTAGAGGAGAGATATCTAACTTTACTCAGTACCACTCTTAGTAAGCGTTCACAAAGATATCAAGTGAACAAACCTCTTGAAAATTATGCTGTGTAAACTTGTCTGCTATTCTTAAAAGGTCCCTGCAGGCATGTGTATCAGCAAATGCCCTGATCCCTAGACAGTTTGATGGGTCTAACTGCCTTTTGAGAAATTCACAACACACATCCTGAATCTCAGCAAGCTGTAACAGACATGCTGCTGGTAGAAGTGTCTGAACATTGCTCTCTTCAACAGTTATACTGGATGTGTAGCAGAAATCGACTAGCATTTCCATGGCATTTTCATCAATGTCTCTTATGGTGACCTCTGTCTGACGGCTCTCGGCCAGCTCTCCTGTGAACATGGCATGAAAGTACGGACTGCACGCAGAGAGCACCACTCTGTGTGCAAAGATCTTTCTCTGTCCAACAATAATAACTACATCACAGAGTTCTCGGTGCTTACGAAGCACATTTATGGCTTCCAGTGTGTGGCGTGGATGCTTGTCTGACGTATATGGCATCCTTGCAGGCGATGGCGGCCTGTCCACCTCCATCTTGGTGAGGGACTGCATTGAAAGCAGTTTTCTGAAACAGAAATAATGGTGTTTGTTCACAGATATATAATTCACAGATATATGTTGATATATTTCAAAATTTATAAGTTAGCAGATCAATTTGAATTATTATAAGCATTATGAATGTTATTTAATTTGAATTATTACAGTAACCAGTACCTGAAAGCACCCCCCCCCCCTTGCAAGTCATAGTTACTGTAGCAATCCATATAGATCACTCATTATTGTTGAGGTTATAATGTTGTCTCAAAGAAATTGAACTACCTGACCAGTATCTTTTACTTTTATGGAATAAATGACGTTTACACCTTTGAGTTTTATGAGACGGGGCTGCAGTTTCCCCCCCCCCCCCCCTCCCCCAGCTTATGCACGCAAGTCTTTGGTTCTTTGACGTTTTTTTAAATTTAGGTCAGTGGCGACTTTCGTCAAAGTCTCTGCTATTCAAATAACTCAATTTTGCAATTTAATAACACCGAAAATCATCAAATTGGGGGCCATACTGTACCTGTGTATAGTACAAGTAATAGTCCCAGAAATTGCCATAATGTATCACAAACTTTCCGATCCACAACCAAAAATTAACTAGCGGTACACTAAATACAACACTATAATTATATCTGAATAACATACCTTTAACAAAATGGGAATTCCTTGCTATCAGATGCTTTTTTATTTTCCAAATGCCCTGTTTCACCTTCTTTCCCTGTGTAACTTTACAAGGGAACACATTAAACATGGATGACTTCCGCTTTATATCGTTTGCGTCGGGTATTTCTATTGGACAATTTATTACCTTGTCAAGATTTTAATGCGAAAATTTCTCCAAAGAGGCACTTGAACATTCTAGCTAGTCAGTTAATGATTTAGAATGTCAACTTTTCACTAAGAATAGGAAAATAAAGTTGCTTAACATCGAAGTTTATTAGACAATTTCTTGTATAAACAGAGTTATTCTCATTCAGAGTTCGCCCAATAACAAAGAAAGTAACATAAGCGGTTAGGCTGGCAGTGACGTCACATTGTTGTAAGTAACGACGGGAATTCCCTTGCATAGTGAAGCGAAATTTCGAGTTTAACTGCAAAAAGGCTACAATTAACCTAAGATACTTGTTCTTCCAATTATGTCGACTGCCGATCCAGGCGAAGAAACTCCTCAAGAGCCAGAATTTCCAGATGATGTTAACTTAGCTTGGCACTGTGTTCTTGAAAATAACCCCACAAGATTTGCTCAGTTCTTTGAAAATGAGGAAGATCCTTACAAGGAGAAGGCACTTGAACATTTAAACCAAAGAAATGATGAGGGGAAATCTCCTTTAGATTTGTCGTCTACTTTAGGAAGGCTTGATATGACTAAAGAACTTATAACAAGAGGAGGAGAAGTAAATAGTTCGTCATGTCAAGGTACGTATAGTACATTGCACCCCCCCCCCCAAGTCTCCCTCCCTTATCTCCGCCATTCACACACACACACACACACACACACACACACACACACACAAACAAACACACACACACGCACACATATATACAAGATATACATATTGTGGGCTCAAACCTTGCCACGCATATCTCCAGTTTGATATTAAATATACATGGGATCTGGGGAAATTGACATACATGTACTACTGGGGTAAAGTTACTTCTTATACTTGTCCCAAAATGCATAGAAAGAAGAGCCAGCTCATAACTCCTGGTAATACTCAGATTCGATCTTAGATTAAGTCATCACTTTCATTAAATTACTATAAGCATTGTTATAATTATTACAGTAACTGTTGATGCTCAGGTGTGATCCACTCACTGTGAGCAAGTGGTTTGGCAAGTGGATCAAACCTAATATATGGTGTGATTATAAAACACTTCATTCATATGTATACTTTGTAATTGTGCTGCTATCTATCTAATTATTTATTTGTTTATATATTTGATGTAGATAAATGTTAAGGCTATTATCTGATGATTGAACTTTATATGTGAAGGTGTTTATCAATAAAGAATTTAGTTTAAGAGCTTTTAGTATTTTAGGAGGATACATATATATATATATATATATAACAAGGAAGTCAGTCTTGCTGTGACCATATTTAGTTGGGAACTGCATTGTTTTAGAATGGAAGAGATTCAGGGTTCAGATATAATTAATAGATAACATGCAGGCAACGCAAAACAATTCAAATTTTGGTATTCAGAATTAACTTGTTTCCATTAGATTTAACAACAGGACTTGTCAATTTTTTTTCTGGTTTTAGGTTACATTCCTCTCCACCGCGCAGCAGCCTGGGGCAGGATAGATGTCCTCAAACTGCTGGTAGACAATGGGGCAGACCTGCAGCAGAAGACTGTACACGGAGAGCGTGCCCGGGAGGTGGCGCTCAGGTACAACCATGCAGAGTGTGTGGACTACTTAGACTGGGCCGGTGAGAGATATTTTGTGTGGTTTTAAAGATATTATTCAAATCTTGATTAAATGGGTGTTTTTTAATTCATTTGTTCATGAAAAGTACATGTAAAGTCTTAATTTACATAATATTATGTACTGAACACATTATGGTAAGTTTAATTTATTAACAGTTCACTACAGAAACCGATGCAAACTCTGGCTGCAGAAAAAAAGGAAATAAATCATTTACTGACAGCTTTTTATAAATGCAGATTGAACAGTTCTGTACGTGTAACTGTCATAAATGCGAGTTATTGTAATGAGAAATTTAGGAGTATACAGAAGCTTGGTACTAGTACTCACTTTTCACATCCCCCCTCTCCCTTTCCAGAGGCCAAAGTTTTTCTTCAAGACACAATTAGAGCCATGCAAGAAACTCTTGCAGATCCAGAAAAGATACAAGGAAGACTTACCAAGGATGACCGGGTATAATTTCAAAAAATTTTCAAAATTTTATGTTGCCCTTATTTGTCTTTCTGATAACATTTAATGATGAAAAAAAAAGCATTGATCAATTGAATTTTTCATAGCAATAGTAATGATTTGTATCGAATTGATTTTCTCATAATGTTGATTCAACTGATGTATTGTAGTTAGTAATAGTAAAATTTACTACTATAATTGTATAAAAAAATAACTGGTCCAGGAATAATTTTGAGATCAGTCGTCAATTGCTTATGCTGTAAGTATAGTGTATTTAGAATTAATGGTTTTATTTATTGACCACTGTAAATTACTACGTAGTGAACAAGAACTGTTATCTTTGCATATGACTAAAAGGTTATTAAAATACACTTCAGAATATCTGCATGAATGCCTGTAAAGAGAAGTCTGACTGGGTAGACCTTACTGTTGATGCCACCACTCAAGACTTTATTCTCAAAAAACAGGAACTTGATGAAATATTTGCTCCAATTTGGGTTANACAAAAAATTCAGAAATGTTTAAAAACAAAAACACCGTAATAAATTGGTCAATTAAAAAAAAAAAAAAAAAAAAAAAAAGCTCCTCAAACTTTACATTAGCTCAAAGAAAGATCAGTATCAACGCACCTCTCCACGAAATTCAGACATGAAACTCCATCTTGCCCTCCTACGGCATACATGAAGTCTCCAAGAACAGCCACTCCCACACTGGTACGACATGAACTGGTGGGAGCTACGTCACTGGACCACTGATTGGTCTGAGGATCATATCTGAAGAGAAAACACCAGTAAAGGTTGGTCAATTACAAATAGTAACTGATCACTTAATTAACAAATTATTAACAATCAATCCTTTATGTGGAAAGCTGAAATGCAAGAGAAATTTTAAAACCTGTTAATGTGCATAATTACAGAGAATTGCATTCCCCCCTCTTAAAAACTCATGCTACTTTTAACCTGTGGTAAAATTTTGTTGAAATAAATAAAACAGTTTTGTTACACATAAAAAGAGCACCAATTCCTACCTCTCAATGCTGTTTAAATAAGACTGTCCATCGTGTCCCCCAACAGCATACAGCAGGCCATTCAGCACTGCCACACCCACACCACAGCGCCGCTTACTCATGGGCGCCACCATGCGCCACTCATTGGTCTGTGGGTCGTACCTCTCCACACTGGATATAGCATCTCCACTACACCAGCCACCCACTGAGACACAAAGAATAGACAATTATAAATAAATTTCTCAAACCAAAAGAAAAGTCACAATTATGTGTTTCAAAGAATATAATTGTTATTTTTTGGGGGGGCTTATAATCCAAAAGGAAAACCCTGCTCTTGATACCATTTCATTTTTGTGACACCAAATTTAAAGCATACTCCCTGCCCTGAGATAAGAAAACTAGTTATAAAACATCAAAACATCAAAAGACACTTTATTTGGCTCTATCTACCTGCAAATAACACCTCTCCACATCTTATTGGTTTCCGTGGTCGTGTTCTTGGTCCCTGCATCAGAGGGCGCTCCTGTGGCAACAGCAGGTAATTCTTAGCTTCATCTACTAAATCTCTGCATGCCTCGTCACTTTTTATTAGAAGATCAGAGCCCACAGTGCCGACTAAAAACTTAGGACTCATCAGTGGCAGCCTCACATGTTGTACTACCTGAAAACAAAATTATAGTAAAATACCGAATTTGAAAAAAATGCTGTACAGAAAAACAATCCTACCTACTATCTCAATTTTATGAAAGGTTTTTATCAAAAAAAAAAAAAAAATAAATAAATGAATTTGACAAACACATTTCTTTTTAGAAAGGAGCACCAATTTATCACAAACTGGAATATCTGATGGGCAAATAAACAGATTCATGTTTATTCACTAATAAGGTCTCGCACCTGATTTAATGAATCAAGCAAACTAAAAAAAGAAATATCAGATTTTTTTTTCTTTTTGGTAAAGTAACATAATATATTATATACTCGAGTTCCCATCATAGAGATAAAGAATTTGTCTGTATTAGATGACATACTGTAGGCAGGTTTCCCTTCCTCTCCTGTATATTATGTTTGACCCAACCCATCACAGCACTGTACACCTGCTCCTCACTGCGCACATTGAGCTCATCACTTGAGATTATATCCACTAGCTGATTCAGGGGAAGAAGTAGAAATTCTTCACTTTCCATCACCTGTAAGAAAAAGGTCAATTTCCTTAAAAGGTTCCAATAAGAACAAAACATGTCCATCTCATATGGGTTTCAATACAAGATGTTTTGAGTGATGCTAGAGAAATTCCTTATTCTCAACTTGTATTCAGGAAAAAACCTTTCGACATGTTGGGACAACATACCTGAAATCAGTTATTTCATTAATTAGCTTAAAAGTTGAGTCATTAACAACAATTTTCAAGGAAAAAATTGTGCAATATTTTCGTTGATATTCTGCCAAATGTTTACAACAACTCAAAGGCACCTTGTTTCAATTGTGGTCTGAATCTTTAGTCCAGTAGACGACAAATAGCAGAAAATCCCATTTTCTGAATGAATACTCCTTTTCAGTAGCAAGATTACAGTATCTAAATTGTTAAGTAGGTTAAAAAGGGTGAGAGGTGGGTACTGAGAATTAGGGAAGATGTTACGATTAACTAGCAAGTGTGTGCGTGTATGTTAATGTGTGTGCATGCTGACATGGGCACGAACATACGAGCATTTTTGAGTGGTCAAGTAAGAGGAGAGATATCTAGCTTTACACAGTACCACTCTTAGTAAGCGTTCACAAAGATATCAAGTGAACAAACCTCTTGAAAATTATGTTGTGTAAACTTGTCTGCTATTCTTAAAAGGTCCCTGCAGGCATGTGTATCAGCAAAAGCCCTGATCCCTAGACAGTTTGATGGGTCCAACTGCCTTTTGAGAAATTCACAACACACATCCTGGATCTCAGCAAGCTGTAATAGACATGCTGCTGGTAGAAGTGTCTGAACATTGCTCTCTTCAACAGTTATACTGGATGTGTAGCAGAAATCGACTAGCATTTCCATGGCATTTTCATCAATGTCCCTTATGGTGACCTCCGTCTGACGGCTCTCAGCCAGCTCTCCTGTGAACATGGCATGAAAGTATGGACTGCACGCAGAGAGCACCACTCTGTGTGCAAAGATCTTTCTCTGTCCAACAATAATAACTACATCACAAAGTTCTCGGTGCTTACGAAGCACATTTATGGCTTCCAGTGTGTGGCGTGGATGCTTGTCTGACGTATATGGCATCCTTGCAGGCGATGGCGGCCTGTCCACCTCCATCTTGGTGAGGGACTGCATTGAAAGCAGTTTTCTGAAACAGAAATAATGGTGTTTGTTCACAGATATATAATTCACAGATATATGTTGATATATTTCAAAATTTATAAGTTAGCAGATCAATTTGAATTATTATAAGCATTATGAATGTTATTTAATTTGAATTATTACAGTAACCAGTACCTGAAAGCACCCCCCCCCCCTTGCAAGTCATAGTTACTGTAGCAATCCATATAGATCACTCATTATTGTTGAGGTTATAATGTTGTCTCAAAGAAATTGAACTACCTGACCAGTATCTTTTACTTTTATGGAATAAATGACGTTTACACCTTTGAGTTTTATGAGACGGGGCTGCAGTTTTCCCCCCCCCCCCCTCCCCCAGCTTATGCACGCAAGTCTTTGGTTCTTTGACGCTTTTTTTTAAATTTAGG